TTGACCTTTACTATAAAAGGTGTCATATTCAATTCATATTATTTATTCTCATGATTTATTTCAATAAACCATTTCAAAGTAAACAATTTCTTCATTTATTCTTAATTTGGGTCTGTACTCAGGTTCCCAACCAAGATTACCCAATTAGTCAACATATTGGATTTATCTTTATGAGACTTATCCTGATTTGTGATATTGGATGTCAAAACACATTTCATTTCGGCCCAAAGTCCAATAACTATTTATTTTAATCAAAACAAATTTGACTAATTGAATATTTATTCATTAAAAATTTTAGGGTATGTTTTGGGGCGTTACATCGCGTCTCCAGAACCTTCCTCATTCGGAGGCGACAGGCTGATAGGCGGCCGCCTGTCTGCCCGCCTGTGTGGTCTGCTCGGGTTTAAATACCCCATTCGGCCATTTCCTTCACCACCATCAAAAATCCCACTTTTCTCCTTTGTAGAGTTTAAGAGTTCTTTCTAAACGTATTAGAGTGTTGATTTGAAGATTTGTGTGATTTGAATTCCATTCTCCAAGATCTGTAAGCTTTCTTGTACACTTTTTCTTTATTAATAAAATTAGCTTTTATTGTAATTTGTGTGTTTATATGGCTTTTAGTGGCTAAACTTTCATTATGGTATGAATTGAATTAAGAGTATGGGCTAATGATTATTAATTAAAATTAAGTTAGTGACATGGTTAATTGATTTATTTGTCTAAAATGAGATTCACTAATTAATAGATCTGGCCAATTTATTAATTAATCTTTGGAGATTATTTGTCTGGCTTGTCTTTGAGTTAGGAAAAATAATCTAGCCAACCATATTTAGACACATTAATGAGGCCTAGAAATAGGATAAGTTAATGATATAAAATCTAATTATTCAAGAAGTTAATTTAATCTAAAATTATTTTCTTAGCCCATATACCTGATCGATTCATACCTGTTTCTAAATCATTGATTGAATTAATCAGATTATTGCTATTATCTTGCTTCAAACTTGATTGCTCTAAGTTCAAGATTAATTGTTCTGTTAAATTAAAATATCAAGTTAATTAACAAATACTTCCCTTTGCCAATCCTTGTGAGACGACCCGAGTTATTCTCGGTTAATTTATTGACTTACTGCTATATTCAGTTTCGCCAATTGGCGCCGTTGCCGGGGATTGGCACGGTTGTTATTTGTTAGTTGTTTTTATTTATTAAAAAAAGGTTTAAAAAAAACAAATTTGATTGTTTTTTTATGCACACCCGTTCTTCTAGTGCAGGAGAAGTTTTACAATTTTCTGAAGATCCTGAAAGACTTATTAGATCTACTCGTAATTCTAATTTTCAAAGAAATCAAAACTTTTTAAATAATCAAGAAATGGGAGAGGAAAATAGAGTTAGGCGTACTGTTCTAGACACCATGACCCCTTTTTTTGAAGAAAACGACTGTATTGGTACTCCTGCTATTACAGCTGCTTCTTTTGAAATAAAACCTGCCATAATACAAATAGTCTCTAGTAATCAATTTGGTGGGATGAAACATGAAGACCCTAGGGCCCACATTCTTTGGTTTACCCGTACTTGTTCTACTTTTAAAATTAATGGGGTAGACAAAGACACCGTACGACTCTGCCTCTTTCCTTCTTCCCTTCGAGACAGAGCCGCACGGTGGTTAAAATTTTACTGCGGGTCATTTTTCTACATGGGATGATTTACACGAGGCCTTCATGAATGAGTATTTTCCACCCTCTGCAGCTGCTAGAATTCGTATCTCTTCATGAAGCATGGGAGCATTTTAAAAAATTAAGAACTAAATGTCCTCCCACATTAATTGATTCTTTTAGTTTAATGTTTCATTTTTATAATGGTTTAAGTATTGATAGTAAAAAAGAACTTGATTATTCTTCTCCTGGTGGTTCTTTCCTTGAGATGACACCAGAAGAAAATGAGGCATTGATCAATAAAGTGACTTGAAATTCTCGTTATTGGTATGACAATCGTGCCCCAGTTTCTTCTTCTCAAGGAAGAATTGAGGTTGATGAAGCAACTGCGCTTAGAGCACAGATTGAAGCATTGACCATTAAAATTAAAAACCTTGAGAAGAATCAAGTTCAACCACATAGGGGTAGTGTAAATTCTGTTTCGTATAATTCTTATGCCCCTCAATCTTTTGAATTGGTCCTTTCATGTGAAAATTGCATGGGTTCCCATTTAACATCTGTATGTCCTTATGATGATTTTAACTCTCATGATGTTAATTTGATGGAATATGCATGTAAAAATGAAGGACCATGGGCTCATCAAAATAATCAATACCAAAGTAATCGAAATAATAATTTTAATAATCAAAGAAACTTTGGTAATAATTGGAGAAATGATGGCCCGAATAATAGGAATAATAATGGAGGTAATTGGAGAAATCAAGGAAGTAATTCTCAGACTTATGTTCCACCACATGCTAGATCAAATGAGAATAATTCTTCCTTAGAGAAAATTTTAGGGGATTTGGCTAAGACTATAACTGACTTAAAATCTGAACTACCTAGCATTAAAACTGAATTAAGATTTGAATTTCAAAGAGAGTTACATGATGTTAAGCAGTATATGAGTCAGTTAGGTAACACTCTCACCCACCGTTCACCTGGGAACTTACCCAGTACAACTGAATCAAATCCGCGAGAGCATGTTCAAGCAGTAACTTTAAGAAGCGGTAAGAAATTAGCTAACAGTGGTAATGTTTTAGTCAAACCTTCCCCTCCAACCCCTGGTCCTATTAATAATGACAAAGAAGTAGAAGAGAATGGTAAGGAAAATCAAGAGGCTGAACCAGTTGAGTTAGGGGAACCACCTATCCCTAAAACTAAACTTCCTTTTCCTACTAGGTTAAGAAGGGTAGATGATCACCTAACTTATACTAAGTTTTTAGATATGCCAAAACAACTTCACATTAACTTGCCTCTAATGGATGCTTTGGCAGAAATGCCTAAGTATGCTAAATTCTTTAAGGAGTTGTTAGCAAATAAAAAGCCTCGATCTGATCCTATGGTTGCCAGTCTGAGTGCTGAATGTTCGGCAGTTCTCACAAAGAATTTGCCAAAGAAACAAAAAGACCTAGGCAGTTTTACCATTCCTTGTTCTATAGATAATGTTGCTTTTAATAATGCCTTAGCTGACCTAGGAGCGAGCATTAATTTGATGCCATATTATGTTGCTCAATTGCTAGGCATAAAAGAACTCTTGCCTACTAGGATGTGTATTCAACTTGCTGATAGTTCTGTTACTTATCCTTTAGGCATTGTAGAGGATGTATTAGTACAGGTAGGTAAATTTATCTTTCGTGTTGATTTTGTTGTTTTGGATATGGAAGATAAGGGAACTCCACTTATTTTAGAGTTGGTTCGCTAACTTTGAGAGTTGGAGATAATGTTTGCACTTTTCGACTCCCAGAGATAGCAAACCAAGAACATGTTTCTTGTAATTTTGTAAATGCTATTGATGCTTTAGATGACTTCTAGTTTGGCACCTCTTCTGTTGAAGATGGCCCACGAGAGGAAGGTATTATAAGCATGGCCAATTCAACAGAAGAGAAATATGTTGAGTTGATGGAGTTGTGTGATAAGGTTTTACAGGAAGAAGAGAATGCAGAGCAGGTTTTGGGTGTTCAGGCAGAAGAAGATGAAGAAGAAGAAGAGAGTGAACCTGCGCCTACTCCTGAACTAAAACCCTTACCCTCCCACTTGGAATATGCATTCTTAGATGAAGAAGAGAAATGCCTAGTCATTATTGCGTCTGACCTAACCAAGGAGCAAAAAGGTAAGTTGATAAATTTGCTTAAGCTTTATGGGCATGTTATTGCTCGAAAGCTTGAGGACCTCAAGGGAATTAGTCCAACCTTCTGCACCCATAAGATCTTTACTGAAGAAGGGAAGAGACCGATGAAGCAACAACCACGAAGGTTGAATCCCAATCTTAGGAAGGTCGTAAAGAAAGAGATCATGAAGCTTTTGGATGCAGGTATTATTTATGCCATTTCTGATAGTGATTGGGTAAGTCCGATTCATGTGGTACCTAAAAAGGGAGGGATGACTGTTACTGCCAATGATAAGGGAGAGTTAATCCCTAACAGGGTGGTGACCAGGTGGCGTATGGTGGTTGACTATCAAAAATTAAATGATGCCACCCGAAAAGATCATTTCCCTCTTCCCTTTTTAGATCAGTTAGTGGAGAACTTAGCTGGGCATGGGTATTACTGTTTTCTTGACGGGATGAGTGGGTATTTTCAAATACTCGTTGACCTCGCAGACCAAGAAAAGACCACTTTTACTTGTCCAATAGGAACATTTGCCTATCGGCGAATGTCGTTTGATCTCTGCAATGCCCCAGCTACGTTCATGAGGTGCATATTAGCCATATTTGAGAAGTTTATTGGAAAGTTTATGGAAGTATTCATGGATGATTTTTCCATTTATGGGGAAACCTTCGATGAATGCCTCCATAATCTTGAGAAAGTTTTGAAAAGATGTGAAGAAGCAAATTTAGCCCTAAGTTGGGAGAAGTGCCACTTTATGGTGAAGGAGGGAATTGTCCTTGGCCATAAAGTGTCAAAAAGGGGAATCGAAGTAGATTGGGTTAAAGTTGAGGCAATTGAGAAGTTACCTTATCCGTCTTCCGTTAAGGATATTCATAGTTTTTTGCGACATGCTGGATTCTACAGAAGATTCATAAGGGATTTCTCTAAAATTGCCAAACCCTTAACCCGATTGCTAGAAAAGGAGGCTGAATTTGTTTTCTCTACGAGTGTAAAGTTGCCTTTGATACTTTGAAGAAGAAGTTAGTGGAAGCACCGGTCCTTACCGCCCTAGATTGGGCAGCTCCATTTGAAATAATGTGCGATGCTAGCGACTTCGTAATTGGGGCCATTTTAGGACAACGAAAGGATAACCACTTCAGGCCCATTTACTACGCTAGCAAAACCTTAGCAGGACCGCAGCTTAACTATACCACCACTGAAAAATAATTTCTTGCTATTATTTTTGCTTTAGAGAAGTTTAGGTGTTATATCTTGCTTTCTAAAATAATTATCTATACTAACCATTCAGCTATTAGATATTTGTTGAAGAAACAAGATTCTAAATCTAGACTTCTACGTTGGGTTTTATTGTTGCAAGAATTTGATTATGAGATTGTAGATAGGCAGGGTTCTGCTAATCAGGCAGCTGACCATCTTTCTAGGTTGGATGCAGGATTAGTAGACCAGTTTAGTAATAATGAGATTGAAGACTTGTTCCTGAAGAGAGACTTTTATCCATAATTGAGACCCCGTGGTATGCTGACATTGCTAAGTATCTTGTTGGAGAAGTTATACCACCTGATTTTTCTTATCACATGAAGAAAAAGTTTCTCTCAGAAGTTAAGCACTACTTTTGGGATGACCCTTATTTATTTCGAATTTGTTCTGATGAAGTAGTGCATCGTTATGTCAGTGAGTCTGAAGCTCGCGACATCTTAGTGCATTGCCACTCTGGGCCCACTAGAGGTCACTTCTCTGGTAATCGGACTGCCCGTCGAGTGTTAGATTGTGGATTCTATTGGCCTACTATTTTTAAAGATGCACATAATTTTTCCAAATCTTGCGATCAATGTCAAAGAGTTGGGAGCATCTCCAAGAGAGATGAAATGCCTCTACATTATATGTTGCCTTGTGAAGTTTTTGTCGTTTAGGTCATCGGTTTCATGGGGCCGTTCCCAAGCTCTCATGGTAATAAGTATATTCTAGTTGCTATTGATTATGTGTCTAAATGGGCTGAGGCTCAAGCCTGTCCCGCAAATGACACATGCACTGTTGTGAGATTCCTCAAGAAGTTGTTCACGAGATTTGGTGTTCCGAAGATTTTAATTAGTGATAGAGGAACTCATTTTCGAAGTGACCGTATGGCTAAGTTGTTAACTAAATATGGGGTCCAGCATCGTTGTGGAGTAGCCTATCATCCCCAAACTTAGGGGCAAGTTGAGAATACAAATAGGGATCTTAAGGCTATTTTAGAAAAGACTATATCGCATTCTTGAAAAGATTGGTCTGATAAGTTAGATGATGCGTTATGGGCTTTTCGGACAGCTTATAAGACCCCAATAGGAACTACTCCCTTTCACTTAGGGGGTGTTTGTTTTTTCTACAGGAAAAGGTCTGCAGTGTGCGGACCACTACTGTAGACATCTGCAGGAGAAGTGGTGGACCGAAGGTCTGCGATCTGCAAGAAGAAGACTGTTTGTTTTTTAATGTTTGTAGACTGCTATATAAATTAATGGTGGTAGTGTACGGTGGTGGTGTATGGATGATTGTGGTGGTGGTGGAAGGTGGTGGTGATGGGTGGTGGTGGACGGTGGTGGTGGTGGCGGTGGATGGTGGCGGTGGTGGTG